AGCTATTTAAACTGCCAAATGAGACATAAAGCAGCATTGTAAAAATCATCTGGAAAACAGGTTTTTCTATTGAAGTCACTATGTGTTAATTACTGTGATCTGGAAGAGCTCTGTATCTAAACGCCTGGAAGCCGACTTTCACCCCGCATATGTAAATGAAGAAAGTGCTGAATCTAAGCCAGAGGGTTCATGTTCGGATTCATTTCCGTGCATGCCTAGACATTAATATGTGTTCATGTAGGGTTCGTACAGTACGAGGTGTTATTTCCTTATAAAGAAACACCAGGTCTCGCTTTCCATTCTCCTTACAAAATTATTCGCATTATTTATGCTACATTGAGCGATCTAATTTCTTCGTGATAGTCAGCTAATTGCTCTGGCAGGTAATTAGAAGCGGTTTACAACGCAAAGGGCTTTTTCGGTGGCCCTCGGATTATTAAGTTGCTCTGTAAATTATACCATATTTGCCGAAGAGAGGGAGGGGGAAGGGGCTTTTGAGAAGTTCTTCTCCTGCGATCAGAGCTGAAGCACGTACCCGTCCACCCCCCAACACTTAAAAAAATGGGGGGATGGGGCTCTTCCAGAGCTCAGAGTCGAATTATTCTCAAGCACGCGATCTGAAGCCCATTTTGTTCGTGCTCACTGGTCCAGAATAACTTGGCCATAATGGCCGGGAATGGGCCAGGTCTGCAGCAAGCTTCCTGCGCCCTGGCAGCATCCAGCAGGCATGTGGGAAAAGAATGGCTTAAATGGGGACATCTGTTCAGTGTTGCTCATCTCGCTCCTGCGGCCAGGTCGGGTTAAGAGAATAACCTGTTCGCCACCTTGCCGTCCTCCCGCTGTTCGTCTGCCCACCCCCCCGAAGTTAATAAGGCTGCTGGGCTTGGGGGAAGGGCGCGAGAGGGGTGACCTAATTGCTCTGTCATATAGGCAAATTACGACAGGGAAAGGTGGCAGCTACATTGTAAGAGGAACAGTAAATATATCAATATTGGGTCTCTCGAGTCAAATCGCAGGAGCTCAGCATTCAGGAGGAGTCTGTGGTGCACACTGAATGGGTGAGCGTATGTGGGCAAAACCTTCCTGGCACAGTGCTTCGAAGGTACGTCTTTCCCGGAGGACCAAGGGTTCTTTCACTCCGCAAACGGCAGAAAGCAAACATTTTTTAATTTTCTTCTTCCAGATTGACAGTTTTGTGCAGTTGAGAGAACAAATACATACGTACGTAAGTACGTACATACACGGGTGGAAAGCTTTCCCTTCCTTCTCTGTTCTTTGCAGGCTACGATTTAGGGTGCATTAGGATTTGTATATGCAAGTGTCTAGCACACTCACACGTTTATATATGCGCCCATATACACAGGCGCCCATGCATGTGTGTGTATATGCATATACATGTGTGTGTGTATATATGTGTGTATATATATATATATGTATATATATATATATGTATGTTTTTATATAAATAGCATGCTATATGGGGCATGACCCAGCTTCAGAGAGCCTATCTAATGGTAACGTCCTGTTTTGCACACCGATTTTTCAAACGTTTACGATATCTTTTCACCCTGTTGTAAAGCTTGTACTATGATTTGAACACGTGTGGTTAAACCATCAGACCCAGAGCAGCTCCTAGATTATTTGTAATTAAACACAATTCCCAAAGTAACATTTATCTTCCCGAAACTGCGATTGCAATTGTCAACCGTCTGGAGGAGACGCGGGGTAATCTGGAAGCATTACCTCCTCTCCTAACGGAGCAGAATGAAAAGAAATCAATACCACTGAGGAGAAGAATTTAGTAGTTTTTAACTATAAGTGGTGCCTGGGAGAAGGTGATATATAATAGGAAAAAAACCAGAAAGCAGCCTAAACAAATCTATTCTAGGTAGGACCAAAGGACCGGCGGCGGGGGCTCCGCGCTCTGCCCCGCCCGGTGACGGCGCGCCCAGCCCGGGCGCTCACTCTCCCCTCCGGCGTCTCCCGGTACTTACATGACCGCCTAGGAGCCGCCGATGTGTGAACAGGGATAACGTACCGGGAGAGCGAGGGGAATGGAGGGGGGAAAGGGGGCAGAAAAGAAACGGGGAGAAGAAGGAGGAGATGCGGATCGGATCTGCGCGCACACCCGCGATGTAAACAGGGTGGGTGTGAAGGTGCCTCTTCCTTTTCCTCCTCAGGCACGCAGACAACAACATGTGCACGGTGTCTTCCCGGGCTAATCTAATTACAGGGAGTTTGCGGAGGCGCAACCAGCTTTTTTTTTTTTTTTTTTTTTTTTTTTTTTTTTTTTTTTTTTTTTTTTTTTTTTTTTTTTTTTTCCCTTTAATACACATACAGACGAATAAGTAAATAAACGCCGAAAGACATCGATGTGAATCCGCCGGCTGCGAGCAGGCAGGTCGGCGTGTTTCCTAGCCAAAGTGGCTCAGCGAGAAGCCCGGGCTCTACCGGGCACCTCCCCGCCGGTTTAGCGGTGGAGCAGCCAGGCCGCGCAAGACTGGGGAGCGTGGGACAGGCAGCGAGACGGGGACCACGGTAGGGTTGACGGGTACCTGGAACAGACACATTTGTGCTGATGGAAGAAATAACGCAGGTAACCTACATAGCAATAGACGCAGGTACCGGCGTACATGCACTGTCCGCTGCAGCAGCGCTGCACCAGGTGCCCGACAACGAGCTCCGCTCTCAACGAAAGTGCCCAGTAAGGCAGTGGCAGAATCGTCCCAGGTAGAGCACAGCGATGCAGAGGTGCAAATGAAAGTTAAAGAACGACATTAACCACCCTTTTTTGCTCAGTGACCGCCGGGCACAGCACGGTCCTTTCTGGCTGGTGGCTGTTTTGTTTCATTTACATGCTATTCTCCTTTCTCCGCGCCCCGTCCAAACCTAGTCCTCCTGCGTCTGTCACCCCTCCGTAAATCTTCCAGGTGACAGATTTCCGGTGAAGCTGGTGGGGGAAGGGGACACCTTCTGGCCCTCACGTACCCAGGGCAGCAGGTGAGGGGCGGTGAGGAAGAGGGGGAACGCAAAGTCTTCCAGCACACGGAGCTCGGAGAGGGCAAGGACGAGGCCCCCGCCCAGGGGCTTTTCCCCGAGCAGAACTTGGAGCCTCTGGACGCAAAGGAGCCGAGGCTTCCTCCTCGCTGGACGCTTGAGAGACAGCGGAGAGGAGCTGCACCATCGGGAAGGTGACGGGGACCGCGACTGCCACCCCTGTGCCTCTAAATTGACGCAAGGGTGGCTTGAAACACATTCCCTCCCTAGTACGGACATCCAACACACGGCTTGGTCAGCGGGCAGTTTAATCTTTCTAGCTATGCCTTTTCAAACGGAACAGACCTCTGTTTCCTCCGAGAGAAATCTCCCCCTACGCCCCAGTAGCGCTGTCTGTAGACAGGCGAGGACCCCTGGTACAGGGGTCTATCCATCTCTGTCCGCTTGCAGGTCGCAGCGCTAAGAGTCGGGGTTTGCTCCGAGAAAAATCCACCCCCCCTCCCCGAAAGGTTAGCGACAGCTATCCTTGTGGCTAAAGTTCCGAGATTGCTAATGTACATTGTAGACACAAGACGTTAGTTAGACTTGAGCAAGTTGTTCCCAGGATGTAAATTAGGTCCCAAAAGCTGTTGTCCAAATCGAAGAAACAGAGAAATTAATCTGGGAGACTATCCATCATAGGCTGTAATAAAGGGAGCGACATGGATGAGACAGATGATATGATTAAGGAGCTGTGGTCGTTTTAATTAACTTTTTGCTGTCCTGTAATGATCAAACTGGTCAACAGACCCGGTCAATAAGCATGTTAATATCAAACAAATAAAACCAGGGATGATTAAAAACCTCCTGGTTTATTAAATTTGAAATTCAAATGAAATTTATGCTGCAGATGCATACAGAATGCTAATAGATTTTAGCTTTATTGAGAGTGGATCCCACAGGTTTTCAAGAAACGGCACGAACATTTATCTACTCCCGTACATCAAACTTCAAATGGGGGGGAAAAAAGTTTTAATTAATTTCGGGAAAACCTCTTTCCCCCCACCCCCCACCCCTCCCTCCCGTCCCCACCTGCATATTATGTTGATGTACTGCACCCTTAAGTGCAGTGGTCAATAAGGCAAATGCAAACAAAATTGTAAGCTTCCTTAAATCCTTTGCCCAGCAGGCAATGTATACAAAGGGGGGGAAGGTTACAGATGTTTCTGTGGTGAGTTTAGGAAAGATCAGCTCATCGTTCTCAAAGTTCAGAAGCTACTGCTTTTCCAGTTTCAGGGAAATTGTCAGAGTAGCAGTAGGATGCCCATTGGCAGGAGTTTTGTGATTTCTGTTCTGATGCATTTGCCTTTTTCTTCCCTCCTTCTCAGTTGAGGTCCCTTGTAAAGACTCCCACGACTATTTTTACAACGAGTTTTTCATCATTTCCAAGACGGTGCTTTTAAAGGAAAAGCACACTGAAAAATTAAGGATTTTCGACCTCAGGTCAAATGAGTCAGGGCAAGCATCAGAACAAATAAACACTACGAAGACCAAGAAAGGACACGTTTCCTCTGGGCAGACAAGTGTAGACAAAGTACGGATGAGAATGGAAGACCGACTCGGCGAGGCTCTCCTAAAAAGAGACATGTCACTAACGCCTTCTCCTTCCCCGGTGGATGGCAAAGTCTCTCAGACTTTCTGGGGCTGAAAAGAATGCGTGTCGATCTTTTTACCTAACCTGGCACACCACAAAATGCGATTTTGTGTTCCTCTAAGATGTAATGCTTACGATGCTTGTTTTGCTCTTACGCTTTCAGATCTATGTCTTAATAGTTCTTCTCCATCCCCAGCAGATAAAAAAAGTGGAGACAAAAAGTTAATAAGCATTCATACAAGGGAGTATCTCCGGGAAATGTTCTTCCCCTCTTCGCGGGTGATAGTATTGATTAAATTAAACCCGAAATTTACACAAGTGTGCATTAGGTCTGTAAAATGAATATCATTATAGAAGGAGACCAAAGCAATGAAGTTAATTCTTTTTTATTTGTTAAAAGGAGTTCCCTCCTTCCCCCACCCCTTCCTCCTTCTGGGCTGGCCTGTCACGCCTTCTCAACAGGCTAAAATCATTCAGAGCAGCTCGCGGGGAGAAACGCGACATTTATGGTAACCGTCAGCCTTCAGAGAAAGAAAGCAGTTCATTAATTTACTTCACTCTTACTTCAAAGTATGGTAATGTACGTTAGCCCCTTGATCAATAGATATGATGTACAGTCAATATCCCCACGACACGGAAACGGGTCAAAACCGAGGCCGAGACAATAAGAAAAACAGCCCCTGGGAAGCTAAGCAAAGCCGCGAAAAAACAGCGGGGGTGAAAGCACCTGGGCGAGCGGGGCCGGGCCGGGGCAGCCCCCGCGGGCGGCTCCCCCAGTGGGAGCGGGCTCTGCCCTTCTCCTCAGCCACCTAGCGCTGGGAGAGGGCCGAGGGGAGCAAAGAGCGCACCTTCAAGGTGCTCCGGGACGAGGCGGGGGGCCGACCGGCAGCCAGCCCCTGACTGTGCCGGTGCCGCTCGGGTGGATTCCGGCTTGTGCGACCCCACTGCCAAGAATCACGCCTCAAAACGCGAGTCTGCGAAGGCGAGAAGGAAGCAGATGGCAGGGAGCAGTGGCTTGAAGTGTTTCCCTTTCTTGATGGGACAACGGGAGAGGAAGGACTAAGCAGAGGGGAGCGAGGTGGAGGGGACCCCGTGGAGAAACGGGATGCTACCGCACTCGCCAATCCTTGCCAATAATCATAGCAAGACTGAGATGATGATGATGATGATATAAAATTCAGACATAAGCCGCTCCGAGAGAAAAAAAAAAAAAAAAAACAAAACCCCAAAAAAAAAACCTGTTGTCAAATTACAGGCACGCAGGGGTGATGGAAAGGGGGAGGCCGGGACGAAGCATCCCGACCGGGGGTTAGCGGTCCCTGCGGACCGGGACTGTGGCTCGCCGCCCGACTACGCGACTGCGTGAGGTCATCAGCGCCGGCGGGGCTCGACGGAGGGGCTCGACGGCGCTGATGACCTCACGCAGTCACGCCGTGGAGCGAGGCGGCGGTGGCGGGGATTGGCTGGCAGAGGCTCAGCGGCACTTCAAAGCCGGCGAGGGAGCTACAATTGTGGTGGAATGGGCGGAACTGATCATTGTATTGCACACCTCTAAAAAAAACACTGCCTCTGATTTATCAATATAAAAAAGATCCTCTGAGAGGAGGGCACTTTTGTGTGATGGCAACTTCACTTCTAGGGGTGAGTCTAAGGATTTTTTTCTCTTGCTGGTTTAATTGGTTTCTTTTTATTGTCGATTGGAGGGGGTTAAAATAACCCCTGTCTTGACCGGGGCTATCAGTCTCCTCTATTCAGCTCTTTTTTTTTTTCCTTTTCTTTTTTTTTTTCCTTTTTTTTTTTTTTTTTTTTTTTTTTTTTTTTTTTTTTTTTTTTTTTTTTTTTTTTTTTTTTTTTTTTTTTTTTTTTTTTTTTTTTTTTTTTTTTTTTTTTTTTTGAAACTTAAGTACAACTGAGTTTAGGAGAAAAGAAAGAGCGAGAGGGGGAAAAAGGGGCAGAGTCACTTTTCAGCGAGCAGGAAAAGGTTTTAAGGGCATTTGTAGAAACAACCTACAGCGCCTGGGCTGTGCTGTTCCTGTGCCCCCGGAGAAGTGGCTTTTCTTCTTTACATGTGACTACTGGAAGGAAAAAACAAAAACAAAACCAAAAACAAAACAAACAAACAAAAAATCCCCAAACCCAGCAGTATCTTTTTTCTTGTGCGATTTTTAAAATTTGCAACAGATTGTGGCTTTTTGTTTCCCTTTAAAATAACAGAGCCCACCGTGTCTAGCAGGTACGTTCAACTCGTGTATACATGCATATTTACATAGGTTAAATTTAGATATGTATTTCATTATCGTTGGTACGTAAATTAGGCTGACTTTAAGAAAATTCTTTTTTAAAAAGGAGTAATTTTATAATCCTACAATTCTGTATTTAAGAAAACAGTCTTACTGACCTGCGGGACGGGTACTGGCCACGTCCCGGGGAAAGGCAACAGGCTGAAACGTAGTTGCCTCCGTGCCGGGGGCATCTTTAAAGCTACGGTAAAAGACGCAACTTTCCCCCCCCTCCTCTTTTTTTCTCCCCCTTTTTTAACCCTTCCCGAGCTCCTCCGTGGGAGGGGAGTTGGATGGTGAAAAAAAGCTTGGGAAGGTGTTTGGAGGCAGAACCGCGTTGCCGGCCCCAGCGAAAGGATCCTCCTGCGGGAGTCGCGAAACTTTGCGGCCGGGGCCGGCGGAGCGGAGGGGGGACGGGCGGCGGAGCGGTGCCGGGAGCGGGACGCGGGGCGCGGGGCGGCGGGGCCGCTCCGATCCTGACGCGGCGGGGCGGCCCTCTCCCCTCTGTGCCCGCAGGAGGAACCGCGGGTAGGCTCCACGCCTTTGGCCATGCTCGCCGCGACGTGCAACAAGATCGGTAGCCCCAGCCCCTCGCCGTCCGCCCTCTCGGACAGCGCGTCCTCCTTCGGCAAAGGCTTCCACCCCTGGAAACGCTCCTCCTCCTCGGCCTCGGCGGGCAGCTGCGGCGCCGTGGGCTCCGGCCTCCCGGGCTTCGGCGTGGCGAGCGCGGCGCGAAACGGCTCCTCAGCAGCGGCGGCGGCGGCAGCGGCGGCGGCGGCCGCCCTGGTCTCGGACTCGTTCAGCTGCGGCGGCTCACCGGGCTCCAGCGCTTTCTCCCTCACCTCCAGCAGCGCGGCGGCAGGCAGCTCGCCCTTCGCCAACGACTACTCCGTCTTCCAAGCGCCAGGCAGCGCCGGTGGCGGCGGCGGCGGCGGAGGTGGCGGCGGAGGGGCGACGGGACAGGAGGCGGCGGCGCACCAGCCCGTCTTCATCTCCAAGGTGCACACGTCGGTGGAGGGGCTGCAGGGCATCTACCCGCGGGTGGGCATGGCGCACCCCTACGAGTCCTGGTTCAAGCCGTCGCACCCGGGGCTCGGTGCCGGCGAGGTGGGCTCGGCGGGCGCCTCCAGCTGGTGGGACGTGGGCGCCGGCTGGATCGACGTGCAGAGCCCCAACGGGGCGGCCGCGCTGCCCGGCTCGCTGCACCCGGCTGCCGGCGGACTCCAGACCTCGCTCCACTCGCCGCTGGGCGGCTACAACTCGGATTACTCTGGCTTGGGCCACTCGGCCTTCAGTAGCGGCGCCTCCTCGCACCTCCTCAGCCCCGCCGGGCAGCACCTCATGGATGGATTTAAGCCAGTGCTACCCGGCTCCTACCCGGACTCGGCCCCCTCGCCGCTGGCCGGCGCCGGGGGCTCCATGCTGGGCGGCGGCCCCGCCGCGCCGCTGGCCGCCTCGCCGCGCTCCTCCGCCCGCCGCTACTCGGGGCGCGCCACCTGCGACTGCCCCAACTGCCAGGAGGCCGAGCGGCTGGGGCCGGCGGGGGCCAGCCTGCGCCGCAAGGGGCTGCACAGCTGCCACATCCCCGGCTGCGGAAAGGTCTATGGCAAAACCTCCCACCTGAAGGCGCACCTGCGCTGGCACACGGGCGAGCGGCCCTTCGTCTGCAACTGGCTCTTCTGCGGCAAGCGCTTCACCCGCTCCGACGAGCTGCAGCGGCACCTGCGGACCCACACGGGCGAGAAGCGCTTCGCCTGCCCCGTCTGCAACAAGCGCTTCATGCGCAGCGACCACCTCAGCAAGCATGTCAAGACCCATAGCGGCCCCGGAGGTGCTGGGGGCCCCGGCGGCGGCGGCCCCGGCGGTGGCCCCGGCCCCGGCGGTAAGAAGGGCAGCGACACCGACAGCGAGCACAGCGCTGCCGGCAGCCCGCCCTGTCACTCCCCGGAGCTGCTGCCACCTCCGGAGCCCGGCCACCGCAACGGTCTGGAGTGACGGGCGGAGGCGCGGGACCGTCGCGCCCCCCGGCCCGCCGCCCTCCCGGCCCAGCAGCGCCCCCGGGCACGCAGCCCTGCGGCGGGGACGTGGACACGTAAGTAGCTGCCGCGGCTCCTCAAGAACCGCTCTCAGCCTCGCGGCCGCTCCGCTGCCCGCCCAGAGCTCCGCCCGGGCCGGGCGGTGCGGCCGAGCCGCGCAACCCCCACGACGGGGGCAGGGAAGAGTTTGGGCAAGGGGAGAGAGCCGCGACCCTCTGTGGGGCGGCCGCGCCGCCGCCTCCCTTCCTTCCTCTTCGCCTTGAGACGCCCCCACCTCGTGTTGCTTTTAGAGTGGACCCCCCCTCCCTCTCGATCCCTCTCGCTTTCCTGCTGGAAACCGGCCCGTCCCCTTTCCCTCAGCCACTAGCGCCAGTACAGCCGCGGTGCCCTGGCGGGGCGGGTGTGCGGGCCGGGGCTGCCCCGCGGCGGGGCCTCCCGACGGCAGCGCAGTCAGCCGCGGTCCTTACTGCCAGCTGAGAGTCAGACGTGCGCTCGCCTCTTTAACTGCTCCCCGGGACCGGAGCGGCAGTGTGCTTATTTCCCGTCCCCCTTATTTTTTATTTTTTTTTTTTCAATTTTAGAGAATCGTTTACCTCCCCAAGTCCAAATTTCACTGCATTTGCCAGCGCATTGTATAATTCTCTTTTGAGCAGGAATGGCGAAATACGCTGAAAATAATTAAGTTGAAAATCGTATATTTTTTTTTTTAAACTCCAGACAAATGAAGAAGCACTGTGGGTTTCAAGCGAAGATGTATTTCCAATGCCAAAAAAAGAAGGCTGGGGGGGAATAGGAAAATAAAATATTTGTAAAATATGTCTGAACCTATAGGTTTGTACCACTGGGGAATCGTTCTAGATTAGCTAACAATTAAATAAAACTCCACCAATGTATGGGTGTGAGGTGCAGTTGTCCAGGAGACGATTTTGTATAGTATTTTTCTTGTAAATTACTTGCAGTAAATATTTGAAAATATATTGAAATACATTTGAGCTTTTTTTTTATTTTATTTTATTTTAATTTTTATTTCTTTTCCTGTCACAAGAAAACATTCTTGTTGCAGTCCTGGTTCACTGCATTCTTTTACCGGACTTGTTCCTTGAAGCGTACATCAAAATCACACTTCAGGATATAGGTTTTGCTTGAATATTAATTTAGGTAGGCATACAACTGTAATTAAGCAAACAATATTTGATAAATGTTGAATGACATTTAATTTAATGGAGCATGTACTTATTTGCATTTGCTGGCAGTTCAGGTATAGTTATGGTGAGAGTTCTCCTATATTTCATAAAGTGGGTTTGCCACGACCCATGTATTAAATAAACTGTCCAAGTGAAACTGAACTAACGTTGGCCTATGTGTATTTCCTGAAAATAATATTGATAAATGTTAATAAACACTCCTGACACTACATTAGCAGTTTGCAATGCTGCAAACTAATTGTCTCATTGTAATGTTGAAATAATTTGGATATTTCACATTGAAATGAAAAGCCCTTCGCTGGAACATTTTAGATTTGCATTTTAAATGCATGAAATGTAATTGATTTTTATCTGTAATATTTTAAATGGTATTAATAAACTCCAAAAGAACATTCTACCTTAGGTCAGACAATTGTTTTTCTTCTTTGTAAGTCCATCATTACAACCAACGATTTACTTTGAATTCATAGGGCATGAGTAGTTCCCTAGAGTTTCAGAGAAAAGTGATGAAAATACAACGAATGTAAGTTGTAGCACCAATGAGAGCAACTTTGAGACTTATTTATTAAAATGAATATTAATTTATTAAAAGGAATAAGTAGGCATTCCCTTTCATGCCTTTTACAAGGCACTAGTAGAGGAAACTAAATGAAAGACATTATTTACTTTTTTGTTTGTTTTTAATTATTTTTATCAGACTAATAATACAGTACCTCTCACAAAGCCGAGTGTGTTTGAAGAGCTGCTTTGCATATATCTCCTCCTTGGAATTATTTTTCACGTCGCGCCAGATTCATTGTGAAAGGAGATCTAATCTTGAAATACCGAGGGTCATTATTGCTTTAAAAGACAAAAAGTGGTCTTCCGCTTTTGTTTTTAGGTCAGGTGGTTGTGGCTGGGAACAATGCTAATTGCTGTAGGGAGCGCTAACTTCTGCAGGTCTCAGGGATGAGAAACTTCGCAGTTGTGCGTGAAAACTCCCTTCTCCTTTGGGAGTGTTTTCCCTGCCGGACTGGGAATCTGGGCGATTTCAGGAGCTGCAGGATGTTGCCAGCCAGCCGGTCCAGCACAGCTGCCCTTTCTGTGTCCTTTAAATCTTTTCCACAAGCTGTCCCTGCACAAAAATAAAAACAGTATTGCGAGTGTCTTTTGTACTGACAGCATTTGCTTAGCGTTATGGGGAAAAAGAAAAAAAATCCACACCACAAAACAAACAAACAAACACACACACACAAAAAACCCCAAACAAAACCAAAACCCCAAACCAACAAAACCCACCACCACCAAAAAGCCTAGCAAACCCCAAACATTCAATCTGCTAACACTTTCTGTCAAGACTTTTTTTTTTTTTTTTTTTTTTTTTTTTTTTTTTTTTTTTTTTTTTTTTTTTTTTTTTTTTTTTTTTTTTTTTTTTTTTGAGGGTCGGGGGAGCGTCTGGAGGATGCTATGTTCTTATCTGGAAATTTGGCCTCTTGGATTACATAGAAAGGTGATGCTCACTGTCAGTGTACTGAAAAATCAGGGCTAAAGCATGGAATTTGCATAGCAGAAAGATCTTTTGTGCATACATGTAGAACATGTTGTTAGTAGTAACTTAAACAGCAGGTGTTAAAATGCAGAGCAAAAAAGCACAGGCAGGTCAGCTCCAGATGCATTCAAGATTTTGGTCCTCTGTGTGGTGTAGGGGTTACAAGGGGCTGTTAACATCCGCTGGAAACAAGAGCTGTTCTGGTTCACTTTTTCTGAGCTGCATTTTGATTTTTCTTCATCAGAAATACAACCATCAGAGGTCTACAAAGTTTCCTACTGAATCAAAGCAACAGTTTGCTCCCATTTTTTTTTTTTTTAATGCCATGTAAATGAGGCGGCGTAACAGCACCCGATTTCTCCAGTGGGAGTGAGAGGCAGTGGGTATGTTACCTGCAGATTTTAGTCCTGATCGAATGGGCTGAGCACCTAATAAAAAGGATAATGGAGCAGTGGATAACTTTTAATACTGTTTCTCTGATATCCCCTGAAAAGAGAGCGCTGTCAAAATGCTGCTATCCGGAAACTTTATGATTTGTTCAGGGCACTGGTTAGTCTGTCTCGGGTCAGTGTGGCAGTGGGATAGAACCGAAGACAAAACGCAGCTTTCTCTCAGGAATGAACATGTGCTTCTGCCTTTTGGAAGCTGCCGTTTGGATCCGGACTGTGTGAGAACACACATATTTTTCCTTTCTTTAAACGGCAAAACCCAGCACTTGAAGGCTGAATAGCTCCTTTTTGTAGTGGATTTACTTTTACTAAACCCTTCCAGATAAGGGCATT